CCCATGCAGCTTTTAAAACAAAATTCCAAGTGCACATGTGGTCAGGGAGGAGTTGACTGGGGCATCCTACCAAGCCCTCAAACTTACCATGCCAGAGTTTGTGTGTAGATCAGTTCTAGTACATTCCTGGCAATGTCAAATTCCTGTAAGCCAAGACTTGTGATGCATTTCATCCCAATAAGCCTGTGAAAATGGACTGAGATGAGCTCCCAAGCCACAAAACCTCCCCACTTCCAAAGCTCCTCCACAAACCTGGAGGTCAACAGGTGATCCTCACCAGGGGAGAATAAAGTTGCAAGTTCCCTAGGAGATATTTGAAAAGTTCCAAAGATATAAGTATCTTAATAACTGAGGGAGTTGAGGGGAAAAGGGAATCAGCATGATGCAGTCAAATGGGGTACTGCTAAATTGATTTTTTTTTTTTTTTTGTGGAACTGGGGTTTGAACTCAGGGCCTCGGGCTTGCTAGGCAGTCTCCCTACTGCTTGAGCCAAACCTCCAGATTCTTTTTCTCTGGTTATTTTGGAGATAGGTCTCACTTTTTGCCCAGGCAAGTCTTGGATCCCATCCTCCTATTTTAGGCTTCTTGCCATAGCTGGCATGGCAAGGTGCACATTGATTGAGATGGGGTCTCGAGAACTATTTGCCCAGGCTGGCCTCAAACTGAATCCTCCTGATCTCAGCCTCCCAAGTAACCAGGATTACAGGTGTGGGCCACCAGCACCCAGCTTTAAGTGATTTTTAAATTCTAGGAAACACTTGTTAGCACTCCTGATTTAAGTTATTCTTCCTACTCCCTCGTCTGTACTACTCTTTGCTTATTAACCCCCTTTTCATGATCCAGATAAACTCAGCACCTCCCAAACCAAGTGAGCAGAAAAAACAAATTTTTTTTAGTAATGAGTAGCAAAGCCCAGCAAGTGCTCTACAACTGAGCTCCAGTCCCAGCCAAATAAACCCCCAAAATTTAAATTTATGGTTACTGCCATGAAATTTAGTGATGTTTTCCAGTTTCAAATATCCACAAGGAGGTAACCAAGAAACCATTTACTCTGGAAAAACTCGAAATCTCACTGATTTCTTTTTCCCATACTGGGGTTTGAACCCAGGGCCTTATGCTGCTGGCAAGCGTTCTGCCACTTGAGCCTTTCTTCCAGCTGTTTTGTGTTGGGTATTTATGAGATAGGGTCTTGTTCTGTTTGCCTGGGCTGCCCTTGACCCTCGATCCTCCTGATCTCTGCTTGCCGAGTAGCTAGGATTACAGGCGTGAGCGGTGGCACATGGCTTATTAACTTCCTTATACAGGAAAGTTGCCAATAAAAAAGTTCTGTCAAAAAAACCAACTTTCTGCCTTTCTGTCCAGGTCCTTGGACAGAGGCTGGAATGAAAGTGAATTTGACAATCAACCTACCCACTGAGAAAAGAAACTGGCATTACATCACAGAATTTCTTCTCTAGAAAAACTTACAGTCATATGTCGGGGGCTGGGGTGTTACTCGGTATCGAGCGTTTACCCTGTACGTGTAGGGCCCTGGGTTCCATCCCCAGCACCACAAAAGAGTGTGACTGTCTAGAAGGAAGAGATGCTTGTCATATTATTTTAAAAGTGAATTAATAATAATAATAAATGCAGGTTGGGGGTGTGACTCTGTGGTGGAGCGCTTGCCTAGCATGCACAAGGCCCTGGGATCCATCCCCAGCAAAAAGAACCACATACAGACCGATGATAACAGTACATCAAGGCTGTACATCTGATATCTAAAATAAAAATTAATATTTTAATTTAAAGCAATGCAATAAATCTCTATGTACTGATACGGAACTGTGTCCAGGCATAGTCTATGATTAAAACCAAACCTCACAAGGATTTTAATGTCCACAAACAAAACTTCTTGTGCTGTGCACATTAAATCACTCTACAGTTCTCAGTGACCCCATTTTGGGGAAAATTATATGGCCTTGTACAATATATACACTCCCAGTGATGTGTGCAAAGAAAAATCTGGAGCTGTTTACACTGTAATATTAAAATTGTCTCCAATGGAGATTTCATAAGGCTCCTTTTCTATTTTACTCCTAGAATTTTTTTTCCAAGAGAAATCATAAAGGGTCAACAGGATCCAATGAACCATGGCCACAGGAATGTTGGGTTAAGGTGAAATTTCACTTAATTTAGAAAAGAACAAGGTCCCAAAGGACAATGGGGTATACAAGGGACCCACATTTTCCTCTCAGCCAGGACTCAGGCTCCAGCTATAACACCAGGATAATTACTCATGACTGACAGTATTTACCTCCTCAGAAACTCCCCCAGTAACGAATCAGCTAAGGAGAACACGAAATCCATCAGAAGGAGCCGGTAGATCTCCTGGCCGATGAAGGTCTCCCAGCACTGCAAGGTAGACAAGAGCCAGGATGTGACAGAGGCTGTCACCCAGCTCAGTTCTTATGTGTTCCATCCCTGGCTCTGTAGGCTCAGTAGGACAGGGCAGGGGGCTCAGATTGACCCAGCCATGTGTATCCAGAAAAGCAGACCCACTCTCTGCACAGATGCAGCCAAGTTTGTTTTCTGGGTTGTTCTTCTCTTTCTGTGCTCCTCCTTCTTCCTCCACATGTACCAAAACTGTCTCCATGAGCTCTCCTTTGAAGACCTTTCATCTCTGTCCTAACCCTTCCGGTTCCCATTTCTCAGCCAGAGCTTCTCAGCTTGTTCAGAAATCAGAAGCAGTGATGATGAAGAATGCACTCCTCTTTTTCTACTGACCCCACAGAGAAGCAATTACTATGTGCTTGATTAAGAAAGTGACTAGGGGTGTGGCAGGCTAGTGTACACTGGAAACTTTAATTGGCCAATTTATGAACCTTCTGTTCAGTAAGTTCTGCAGGAAACAGTGCTATGAGCTTTTAGAGTTGGTTGAAAGAGCCCACGGATGGGTGCAGAGCCCAAGGACTGGTGGAGAGAGAGATGGAGGGAGGAAGGTAGGGGCGGGCACAGGTGAATGGATGGGTAAGTAGATAAATGGATGCAGTAGGTAGATGGATGGATGGATATGGATGGATGAATGGATAGGTAGACAAGTGGATGGGTAGATTGATGAGGGTGGATAGATGACAGATGAATAAGTGGATGGATGGAATGGATGGGTAGATAGATGGATAGATGGATGGGGTGGGTAGACAGATGACAGATGAATAAGTGGATGGATGGAATGGATGGGTAGATAGATGGATAGATGGATGGGGTGGGTAGACAGATGACAGATGAATAAGTGGATGGATGGAATGGATGGGTAGATAGATGGATAGATGGATGGGATGGGTAGACAGATGACAGATGAATAAATGGATGGATGGAATGGATGGGCAAATAGATGAACAGATGGATGGGGTGGGTAGACAGATGACAGATGAATAAATGGATGGATGGAATGGATGGGTAGATAGATGGACGGATGGATGGGGTGGGTAGACAGATGACAGATGAATAAGTGGATGGATGGAATGGATGGGTAGATAGATGGATGGATGGATGGGGTGGGTAGACAGATGACAGATGAATAAATGGATGGATGGAATGGATGGATAGATAGATGAACGGATGGATGGGATGGGTAGACAGATGACAGATGAATAAATGGATGGATGAAATGGATGGATAGATAGATGGATGGATGGATGGGGTGGGTAGACAGATGACAGATGAATAAATGGATGGATGGAATGGATGGGTAGATGGATGGATGGATGGGGTGGGTAGACAGATGACAGATGAATAAATGGATGGATGGAATGGATGGGTAGATGGATGGATGGATGGATGGGGTGGACAGACAGATGACAGATGAATAAATGGATGGATGGAATGGATGGGCAGATAGATGAACGGATGGATGGGGTGGGTAGACAGATGACAGATGAATAGATGGATGGATGGAATGGATGGATAAATAGATGGATGGATGGATGGGGTGGGTAGACAGATGACAGATGAATAAACGGATGGATGGAATGGATGGGTAGATGGATGGATGGACGGATGGATGGGGTGGATAGACAGATGACAGATGAATAAACGGATGGATGGAATGGATGGGTAGATAGATGAACGGATGGATGGGGTGGATAGACAGATGACAGGTGAATAAACAGATGGATGAACACAGGTGGATGGATGGATGGATGGATGGACAGAGTTTAATATGGTATCTTCATTAACCAGCCTCACATGGAGGACTGCTCTTGATCTTCTTTTACCATTAGGGTGAGGAGAGAGAGTTGTATTCATGTGAGATAATTTGAGTCTGGACAGAGCAGAGTTATTCTGGGGTCCAGGGAAAAGGGTGACAGACAGTTGGCAACATCCTCGGGTTCCTGAAAGCTTGGGACAGCCCAAAGCTAAGGAAACCAGTGTGCTGAGGGATCATTCTCTAGCCACAGAAGCAGAGTGGGTGGGTTAGACACCCATTGTCTGAGGCGAGGGAAGACTGAAGAGCCTTGGTCAGGTGAGGGGAAGCCAGGAATCGTCGAGGGTGGGACAGAACTGTACTGAGCACGCTATGGGCCTCCAGAGCAGTAAAGCCCATGTTTCAGGATTATAGAAAACATTCTGATCACGGATCCTGTCCTTGATCAAATCCAACGCTGTTAGGACAGATTGACATCAAAATTACCTGCAACCATCTGTTGCACGCTCACCACACCCCAGGCACGGTGCTTGTATTACTCATGATGGTGTTTAATTACCATTTTTCAGATGTGAACAGAAACTTGAAGAGATCGAGTGACCTAGGTAACACTGCTGGTCCCTGCATCGGGTCCAAGCATTTTCATGGAGGCCCCTCGGCTCTATGCTGCCTCCCAGACTAGTTCTGTTCTCCCCGCACAGGATCAAAGCCAAAGAGAAGTGATGGCTGAGAAACTCACATCCTCCCCGATGATCAAAGACCAAGAAACAAAACTTAGGGCTGAATAGCATGGAACTCTCACCTGTTCACCAGATGGGGCCACAATGTTGAGCCAATAGTAACAAAGAACTCCAATGATTGATATTTTCAGAAAGATGTTTCTAAGTGATGGAAAAGAGAGAGCTTGTTACCCTTGTGGACGTGGACATGGACGTCTCTCACTCCCTTTGCTAGTATTTCCCTCTGGGCACGAGGTCGGACAGACGTCCCTGCCCCGCTGTGGCTAGGTGAAGCCATAAGAGTAGTTCTACAAGCAAACTGAATTGTGAGCAGAAGTGATGTGCATCGCTGTGTCACTTCTGATCTGTCACTCTGCATGCCAGAGTGACATCCTCCAGCACTCACTGCCCTCCAGTATTCCAGAGGGACACCACTCTTTCAGCCTGGACCCCTCTGTGAATTGCATGGTCAGAACCTTCCCATTAGTCCAGAATGCACAGGAGCACGAGTAAGAAATAAAACTAGTGTCCCAGGTCACTGAGAATAGGGTTTTGTTTTTTTTGTAACTTCAGCATAACCTAATTTATCTTGACTGACACACTCTTGTACTTCCCATTGTAATGATAGCAAATGTACCTAATATTCACTGGGCACTGACCCAAGAGCACCACTTTCCAGAATCATCCCCCTTGGTCTTTATGAGCCTACCCCAGGAAGAGGGCATGTTATGTCCATCTTACCCAACATGCAAGGTTATAGGGTGACAGGGAGACCTAATATTTTCCCTCCATTCACAACTAACAAAGGGGTTCCCTGGTCCAGGTGGGATGTGAAGAAATATTGAGGGTATAGGAATCACCTCTGGTTGGAGTTTTTTCTTTTTTGGTGGGACTTGAACTTGGGGCTTTGTGCTTGCAAAGCAAGTGCTCTACCACTTGAGCCTTACCTCTAGTCCATTTTTCTCTGGTTATTTTGCTAAGCAGGTGCTCTACTGCTTGACCCACTCCGACAACCCCTTGCTCTGGTTATTTTGGAGATAGGGTCTCATGAACTAACACCCAGGCTGGCCTTGAACTGTGATCCACCTTATCTCAGCCTCCCAAGTAGCTAGGATTACAGGCATAAGCTCCAGTGCTTGGCTAGTGGGAGTTATTGTAGTATGGATTGGATATAATTGAGTGGTTGACGTGTTCATTCATTTATTCACCCACTATTCTTGATCATCTATTATGTTCCAAGTTATTGGGAACAAGGCAAAAATTTCCCCATTAATGTGTGAGAGAGAGAGAGAAAGGTGGGGGGAGAGGGGAGGGGGAGAGATTGAGAATCATTAAATAAAAATGTTAGACAGTGGTAAGAAAATAATAATGCAGGGGAGAAAGGGAGGTAGGGAGCTGTTATTTTTAATAGGGTGGTCTCTTCCCTGAGGGAAGAGCTCTCTGAGAGGTAACGTTTGAGCAGAAGTCAAAATACAGCCATGTGGCTATCTGGGCAGAAGAATAGCCAGTGCAAAGGCCCAGGGATAGGTACATAGTGGGGCCTGTTCATGAACACTTAGGAGGCCAGTGAGGAGAGGGGTGGAGATCAAGATGGACAGAGGCAGAAAACAGGCTGGAGCACTGGCCAGCAGGGATCTAGATATCAGCAGCCACAGTGAGAAGCCGTCTCCGGAAGTGATCAGTAAGGGAACACCGTCTGCATTGTGCAGACTAATTATCGTAGCCAGGAATGAGCCAGGGAAGCAGCCAGGATGAAGATGACATGTCAGGATTTGGGCAACATTAGCCTTTGCTTACCAAAATCCTGGAGTCACCTCTAACACATATGACATCTTGTGGGAATCACCAACAGGGGTCCCCATCTGAGCCACTAAATCACCAAAAGCACTTTCCCACCTCTGTTTGGGTGGCTTTATTACAAAACTGTGCCTCCTCCCCTGGGATGATGCTTAGTTTAACACTGGATGATTTCAGTCCATACACAACTCCTCAACCAGAATCCCTTGTGCAGTGCGCTGCCTGCTCACCTGTACAGATAAGTACAGGTGAACTGGAGAACGAGGTTAATCTTCAGGCTGTTAGCCATTGAGAAAGGTAAGGCATGACTTTGATATGATGTGATATGTGTACACATATGTGTATTTTCCCAGGGTTCCTTCATGGCCATTAACCCACACCACACGAACCCACTTTATGCTTCGGATTCCTTCCTTCTGGAGAATAGAACTTTGGGATTTAAGCAGAACCCTTTTTAACTCCCCGGAAATGAGGCAGATGTTGGGCACAACAGCCACACCTACCGGATCAGGAGCGCATAGACCTCATGCCTCGGCATCTCGTACCACTCCACCAGCCTGAACATGGAGTAGAAGCGTGGCACAGCCAGGTTGATACAAGACACAACGAAAGGCAGTAGCAGCACTGCCCCGGGGTTCTTGTGCGCCTTCAGGAACTGCAGGGATGGAGGAGAGACGAGAGATGCCAGCTGGATACTGGATTCTGTGTCACTCAGAAGGCTGGCATAGTGGGAAAACCCCAGAAGCAGCTCAACTGAGGTTAACTATTAAATGACCATTTACTTAGCATTTACAGTATACCAAGCACACTGAAGCTCAGAGAGGCAAAGGCATTTGCCTGGGATCACCCAGTACATGAAATGGAAGATCAGAAGCCCCCCAGGCCTGCCCCTGCTTCCACCCACCTTTGGATGGCTTAAAAGCACACCTTGCATGCTGGCAGTGTCTTGGAACCAGGGTGCCCTGGCAGAGATAAACCATCCATATAACTTTTCTCTCCTCCTGACCACACACCTACAAAACCCAGGTAGGATCCTTTCCATTTCAGAGATGAGGAGCACAGAGCTTGGCAATATTAAATCACTGCACAAGCCACCAGATCACTGCTCTTGTTGAGCGCCTACTCTGTGCCAGGCACCGTGGGATGCATGGAGGATACAATTAAGGAAGAAATGAGAACTTGACCCCAGGTCTGTGGCCAGTCCCATGTCTCCACTAGCCCAGAGCGTCTCAGTCTGTAACATGCATTTATGTGGGACCTCATGCAAGTACAGATTCTGAGTCCCTTCTGGGGAGGGAGAGGTTCTGCAGTTTTAAACAAGCTTCTTGTGACATGGGGGCTGCTGGCCTGGCCACAGATGCATAGATCCTGGCTTGAGAAGCGGCTTTACATCCCAGCCCATCCCCTGGCTCCCTGCTCTGGACCTGGTGGTCCTGCCCAACCAGTTACCTCAGAGTTGTACTCAGCCAGGTAATACACAGCTGCACAGCAGGCGACAGCCACTCCAGTAGAGACAAGCCAGGCCATCACATGAACAGAAAAGCGGGTCAGCCGCTGGTGAAATGTGAACTTGACATTCTCCTGACGGATCTCCGACAGGTTCTCCTACCAATGCAAGAAAGTCAAGTTGACCCACTGGTCCCTCTGCACTGTGAACGACCATCCCTGGTCGTCCCTTGCTGTGTCCAGGGACTCAAAGTCAGCCCAGACCCGCAGGTGAGACTGAGTGGGAAGTTCATCACAGAAATGCATTATGGGAGAATCTCTCTGTGGCCAAAAACCCCATCATCAACCCCATCACACTCCCTTTCCAGCTTAGAGGAGCAGGTGGAAGGAAGAGATTGTTCTTCAAGGCCATGAGCTCATGGAGCCCTTTCAGTTTTTGTTCTGTTCTGTTTTTGTTTGTTTTGACAGTGCAGGGGTTGGAACTCAGGACCTCACATTTGCTAGGCAGGTGCTTTAACACTTGAGCTGCAGCTTCAGCCCCCCCCCTTTTTTTTTTAATGTCACTGTGGAGCCCAGGCTGGGCTTTAAACTTGTGATTCTCCTGCCTCTGCCTCCCAAGTGCTGGGATTGACAGGCGTGCACCATCACACCAGGCTGCAATTTAATATTTTGACATAGATTGCTAAATTGTGCACCAGGAAGGCTGTACCAATTACAAAGCCCCAAGTCATGTGAAAATGTCCTTCCCACACCATCACCAGCACTAGGTATTGCAAATATTTTTGGCTAACCTCACAGGCATTAAAAAATAATTCATGCTTACTTCAAGAAAGTTAAAGACACATAGGAGGAGGGAAGGAGGCTGGCATGGAAAGAGGCTGGGCAAGGTGGACTGGCCTTACCCGGATCTCGGTGCTAAGGTTCTTCTGCTTCAGCCTCACAGCCTTGTCATGTGTGACAGTGAAGTCCCAGCAAAAGACCAGCTTGGCGATTCCTCTGGAGTAGATGTGGGGTTGATGAAGTTATTCCGGAAATATTTGCCATGCTAGGGACGAAAGAAAGCAAAATGCCCAGGTCATCACAAAAGACCCTGAACTGTCTGTTCAGTTTATTTGTCCTTTCTAACTGGATTATTTGTTTCTTTTGCTGTTTAGTTTTTTTGAGCTCTGTGTATATTCTCACTATTAATCCCTTATCTGTTGAATAGCTGGTGGAGATTTTCTCTATTCTCTGGGTTAACTCTTGAATTCCGGTAACTGTTTTTTGATGTGCGCAAACACTTTAATTTGAAACAGTCTCATTTGTCAGTCCTTGCTCTTATTTCCTGTCAATTGGAGTCTTCAGAAAATATCTGCGTATGCCTGTACCTTCCAGATTTCCCTGTGGTTTCAGGTCTTCCCTTAGGATCTTTATCTGTTTAGGGCTGGTTTTGTACAGAGTGAGGCACCGGGGCCCAGTTTCACCTTCTGCATGTAGATAGGCATTTGTCAGCACCATTTGTTGAAGAGGCTTTTACCTCCCGTGTACATCTTTAGTCCTTTCTCAAAGATCAGGTGGTTGTAGTTATTGGTTTTATTTCTGGGTCTTCTATTCTGTTCTATTGGTAATTGGTAGCTTTTTTTCTCCTTTTTTCATCACTGGGGTTTGAACTCGGAGCTTTGTGCTTGCTATGTATCAGCCACAGCACCAGCTTGGACCAAGCGTTTAATACATGGGCCTTTGGGGACATTCCAGATCCAAAGTAGAGCAATGGCCATCTCCAGGCTGAGGAGAGAGGCTGTCAGAAGACTACAACCCTAATGGCCTCTTGAGCTCGGACTTCTGTCCTCCAGAGCTGTGACAGACAAATTTCTGTTGCTTCAGCCACCTGGTCTGTTGTGCTCTGCAAATGGGCACAGGTGCTGAACCACTTTTCCATGTGCACTTCTCATCTATACCTCCCCTCTGCCAACTGTCCATCCACGTCCTCCTGTCCAGGTAATCCCACCTTTATTTTCAGACTGACCAGTATCTTTCCTGCTTTTTTCCTCTTTGGAGATACTGGGGATTGAACTTAGAGCCTCATGCTTGCTAGGCAAGTGCTCTACCACTTGAGCTACTCCCCCAGTTCTTTTGTTTTATTTTTCAGATAGGGTCTTTAGCTCAGGCTGGCCTTAGACCTCAGTCCTTCTACCTCTGCCTCCTGAGGAGCTGGGATTATAGATGTGCCCCACCAGGCCCAACTTGTTTTTGAAATAGGGTCTCACTACCTTTTATCAGCACTATCCTTGAACCATGATCCTCCTGTCTCTACCTACCAAGTGCTGGTATTACAGACATGTGCCACTGCACCTGGTCCAAACTGACAATTTATTGAAGATACATAAAACCTCTCATTCTTTCTTGCCCAACTCATATTTACATAGCATGACAAGGAATGATTAGACAGTGACCGAAATAAAATTGCAGAGACTGTTTTCCTGGGTTGATTTCCCAGACTTGGATTTTGTGTAGTCCAAATGAGCCTCAGGATCAAGACACAGCAACACTCTGTACCTGGACAGCAAAATGAAGAAGCAGATGACCAGGCAGACTCCAATGGTGAAGATGTAGGCTAGCTGCATGTTATAGGAAGCCCCACTGTTCCTGTGCTGGATCGTAGAGTTGGTGTAAAAGCCATAGTACATCACCGTGTTCCCAAAATAACCCTGAAGGGAGCAATGCAGAGATTCAGCTCAGGTAGGCTGGGTGTGATAGTGCATGCCTATAGTACCAGATACTCAGGAGGCAGAGGTAGCAGGATCTCAGTACAAGGATGGCCTGGGCCAAAGCATGAGATCCTATCTGAGAAAGAAACTAAAAGCAAAAAGAGCAGGAGTGTAGCTCCAGTGGTAGAGCTTGCTCTCAAGTCCAATCCCCAGTACAGAGAAAGAGAAAGAGAGAGAGATCCAGGTCAGATGGATTTCTTGAGAGAAAGGCAAGTGACTGTGGACAGCAGGGGCAATTCCTGTCTGCAGGAAGCTTGGGTCAGTTACACACTCACACACACCCCAGGGCATTGGTTCCAGGACTAGCAAAACGTGTGGATGCTACAGTCCCTTCCAAAAATGGCTTAAAATTTGCACAGAACCCACATACATTCTCCTGTAAGCTCTAAATCATCCCTAGGTGACTTACCATACCCAATACAATGTAAACCCTTGCTCCAGCCTATGGTTTAGGGAATAATGATAAGAAGACTGTATGTATATGTTCAGCAGACATGCAATTTTTAAAAACATTTCAACCTGCTATTGACTGAATTCAAGGATTCACAACCTGTGGAGGCTGAGGATTGGCTGTCGTTTACCAAGAAAGGACTCCTTGTGGCCACTGAGGAACCAGACGTTTTATCACTAGGTTTTTGGAGTTGAAAAGAATCCCAAACCCACACGATTTTACAATAGAAGACTCCAGCCACCACCACCTGGACTTGGGGGCCAAGAAAACACCATCGAATGCATGACAGCCAGCCATGGTGTGGACGATTACAGCAAATGTGTTACACAGGAAACTTCAAGCCTCTGGGTCCACATTGCGGCTTATGGAAATAAGGAAACAGGGAATGAAATTAGAGAGACTCAGGAAACAGTCAGACAGTTCAAGGGAAAAACCAACAGGGTGCAAAGTCTGATCATTGATCAGATTCTGGTCTGAACAGCAAGCTCAAAAGATATTTGGGGATGCTTGGGAAAATCTGAATATGGTTTGGATTTTAGCTGATAATCATTTTTAATTTTGTTGACTGTGATTGCAGGTATATGTCCTTATTTTTCAGAGATGTGTGTTGATGAATTTCAGAATGAAATGTTCTGATGTCTGCAATTTATGTTAAAATACTTCCCAAAACAGTAAATCCACTTAAAAATCTACATATGGTATATGGGTGTTTTATTACTACCAAAGTAATAGGAAAACTAAAGGAGAATATACACACTAATTCCATTCGATGCATCGAACTCAAAGAAAATATTCTAACAGAAAAAAGAAAAAAATGACATATGGAAGAAACCTACTTTGAACATTCTGCTGCAGGAGTCGGCAACCTTTTTAATATAGAGCTAAGACGCTGTCAGTTTTGTGCGTTTCACATTAATTTTTTGTTAACATATGTTCCCCTTTCTTTTTCTTTTGGGTGACACTGAGGACTGAACCCAGGGCCTCGTTGCTTGCTAGGCAGTGCACTCGAGCACACCTTTCAGCACTGTTTGTTTGTCCTCGCTCTTTCACCCGGTGGACCGCCAGTGTGTCTCCACTTCCTGATAATCTGGGCCACCAATGCCACCACCAACCAGCAGCGTTTCTCTTCATTTGATTCTTTTCTCAACCAGTTATAA